TCAGTTTATGTACTTGTTTTCTCATGTATAGTGAACTTGTAACCAAAAGATCATGCATCAGTTGTTTTAAAGCTTAGTTAAATGGAAAGTAAAAAGACATTGTTTGACCTACCTGCTGGTTTCCTATTTCTGTTTATAGTTATAGTCTATTTTAAGGATAATTTATTTTACATATATTATTTAATAGTAATAACAGTAGTAAACAACATTATTTAACATTAATGTTATAAATTAAGAATAATACCTATATTTTTCCTCTGTAAATGCTATTGGGTAATAATGACAAATTTGACAAGTGTCTGCTTTCACCAAGCGTGTGGCTATAATATGGGGCACAGATGCCATAAAAACGGTAATATGTATTACTTTCTGAGTGGGAATGGAGATGGCATGTTAGCAAGGTTGGGATGAACAGCTAAGCTTAAATATTTCTGAAAGATGCAGCTGATTTGTCAGAGGGTTGGCATCTGATGGCTGATCAGTAAGTAAACTGGATCAAAATGTTTGTCCAGCCATTCTTGACCAAACTAAAAGAGCAGATATTTTGGTGGCAAGTAGGGTGAAAAGGAATGACACAAAGGGGTTTTTAAAAATATTTAGTGGTGTGACTAAATTCCTTCAGTGAAAACATGACAAAAATGCAGCGCTTATTTTATAATCCTGTTATGTCTTAGGCATAATGTATGCCTAGTTCTCTCTCCCTCACTCATAGCTAAAAAAGTACTTGTTTTCACATCAAAACAATTCACATTGGAATCACATGTATTTACAGAATTGTGAGCAGTGTATTGACATTCTCAGCAGAGATGCTTCTTAAGAAAAAAAGAAAAAAAATCCTCTCTCCTTGTTTGAGTTCTATTTTTTTTTTTTTAGCTAAAAATAATACTTTGTATTTGAATTCCGAATGACATTGTGAAAGAACCAAACAACAGGAAAAAACATCTACAAACATACTTTGTTGCATCTAGACAGAGACTGATTGACAGATGTAAAAAAAACAGGCTATTTACGAAAAACAGAAACAAGTTATCCAGAAAAAGAGAAACAAAATGTCAACCTTACGATCATTTCCCAAAGGCAAATATGCAGTGTCGTGCGTGAAGTGGAAGCAGGCCAGGATGTTTGTCATACACACACTAATCAATATTTTTCCTGGCAGCGACGTTATCTGCACAAGACCGCGTAATTCAGACATGAGCTAACACAGAGCCTCATCAGCTCTCACAAAAGCTTCCAATTCCCCCGACACAAGCAGCAATCTCGTCCCTCATCCTGTTCACCCCAACTGACCCGTAAGAATTCAGCATTACAACCTTCCTCCCCGACGCTTGAAACATTCCCTGCAGCATTCACTAAAGTCACACACGTACACACACACACACACACACACACACACACACATAAACGTAACACTGAAATGAATATAAAACCTACAGTGCATATTTAATATTGATAAGTAGACTTCTCTATCAACAGTTCAATGTTTGGAGGTGCTTGAGGCCACAGTAAATGGAGGAAGAGAGGTCTTCACTTGAATAGCTTCAGAAAAGAACCTGCAAAAGCAAGTGATTCCAGCTCTAAGAAATATCATCTATATAAATAATGTAATACAAAACACTTAAAAAGTCCCAGATAAAGCTTCCCAGTTGAGCTGGGCAAGTGCCAACAGTCATATGGGGAAAGAGGAGTGATTTCTTGAAGTTTCATTATTGCGTCTGGTTGATTTTTGCCAGGTAACGCAGGTGGGACTGCAAAGGCTCAACACAGAGAGAGAAGACAGCCAAAGGGGGCACTTGGCATTCTGGGGGATGTCTTCTTTTCCCTTTGTGAGTAAATCTTTCAAAGTGCTACAACTCCCAGTCATTCAAACCCCGGCAACATATCCTTTGTAATAGCCCATTATCCTGCCTCCTGATATGAGGAGCTCCAATTAGTTTGGCCCTTGCTCAAAATTGTCTATCAGCTGACACCTTGATGGCAGACAGGTGCATTGGCAAGCAGAAGACGCACTTTTCCCCGCAGGAAGTTGATGTGGACCTGAAACAGCTCTGAGATTGAGGATACGTTCTGCATCTCCTTGTCTTCTCCACCACTGGCAGGAGGTACATATTCCTGAGAGACAGAGGGAAATGGGTTAAAGAGTAATAATGCAGTGTAACTAATACTGTGTAACAGCTTCACATTTTAGACACTCATATTCATGCTTTTAAATTCTGAATAACGTTTCTGTACTGACTGGAAGAAAAAAAAATCTAGAAAAACGCAAAACTACTGGTAATTTTCTACTGGAACATTTTACATTTCCTTTTACTTCGCACAAAAATGAAAATTTGATGAAAATTTACTCAACCTCAGACCTCATTGGAACAGAACTGGAGAAATTCAGCATTACATCACTTACTCACCAATAGATCCTCTGCAGTGAATGGGATTTAATCAGCTGTTTGGACTCTCATTCTGACGGCAACCATTCACTGCAGAGGATCCAATGGTGAGCAAATGATGTAATGCTAAATTTCTCCAAATCTCTTCCAATAAAGAAACAAACTCATCTGTGTCATGGATGTCGTGAGCATATTTTAATTTTTGGGTGAACTATTCCTTTAACACAACACAGTACAATGCTTAATGCCTTCATATCAACACAGTATATTGGACCCTATTTTTTTCAGCTGAGAGTGTAGTCCCATAGCCGCTGCTTGTTTTTATCTAGCACTACGACACAATGACACAATCACTGTAAAGTGACGAACACGCTTTCTTCCTGATGTTGACATAAGTTTGTAGTACACTACACTTGATTAGCATAACATCCATTTTCCTGTTCCTGTAGCTTGATTGGTAGAGCATGACGGTCACAGGGTTTGATTCTCAGAAAACAGATAAGCTGATGTAATTTATGTATATTGAATGAAATGTACAGCTTAAATGCATTGCACACTTGCTTTGGATAAAAGGGTCTGCCAAATGCATGCATGTATCTGTAAATTTGGTCCTAAGTGTATATTCTTAACCATTATGCTAATGAATAATGTAATTCTAAAGCACAGTGGTTCAAAAGTTTACTCAGCAAGAACACAAGAAGTTACAAAGAACCTAGAAAGCAGCACACGTGTTTTCAACATTGATAATAATAAGAAATGTTACAAATCAGCATATTAGAACGATTTCTGAAGGATCATGTGACACTGAAGTCAGGAGTAATGACTGCTGAAAATTCAGCTTTGCCATCACAGGAATAAATTACATTTTAAAATATATTAAAATAGAAAACAGTTATTTCAACTGTAATAACATTTCACAATATAACTGTTTTGAATCTATTTTCGATCAAATAACTGCAGCCCTGGTGAGCATAAGAGACTTCTCTTTCTCCAAGTGGCCTGTGTAACTCACTGGTATGCTGAGACTTCGCAGCACTTGTCTGATGCTGGCAATGTTGCTAATACTGGCATCTATGTGGGACTGCAGCACGTCAGTCTGATTAGATGCCTGTAATGAGCTGATGGTCTCGTTCAGCACATGTAAGCCTGACTGGACCTCCTGAGCTTGCTCCTCTATCTGAAGTGACATACAGAATATATTCATAAAGGAATGTGTTAACCACATTATTTATTAAGTTAAGGTATCCATCTATATTATATTAAAATCTTCACAACAGGAACATGCAGGACAACTTACATTCATTGCTTCCCAGACATCAAAATCAACTCTTGTCAGAGGAGCAGTGAAGTTTGTTGCAATGCTGCAAGCATCCTTACACGCTCTCTGCGATAGCAAAAACATTCAAGTCAAGTCACATTTATTAATCCAGCACTTTACACAACAGAAATTGTTTCAAAGCAGCATAACAGCACTACACAAGAAAATGACAGTATTAATGTTGCAAACCCCTTCAATTATGAAACAAATACAATGTCAGCTGTAAAGCAGCTCCAAAAAGACAATAGCACCATTATTCAGCTCAGTTTAGATTAGTTCAATGACGGTGTCAGTATTAGCAAAGTTCATTAGTAAACATAATTTAACTATTGAATTGTCATTATTCAGCTCAAGTGAGTTCATTGTTGATTTTTCTTGTGCTATAAGCAGATCTACAGAAGGCAACAGTGTCATTATTTTCAATTAATTTAGATTCAATATAACAGTGTCAGTGTTTCAGAGTTAATCAATTATGAAATTCAGCTATAAGGAAGCTCCACAGAAGACAACTTATCCAGCTTAATTTATTTTAAAGTCATTTGATATCCAGTGGGAATTCTTTCAGTGGGTAAGGAGTTGTTCACCAGTGTTCAAAAACAGCTAGAGAGGGCACACGGGAAGAGGACAGATTGCACACTTGGCATTGCAAAGATGTTTGCCTGATGCATGTGTAAGATTAAAGAATTGCACAGAAATGCAAGAAAGTGAACTGCTTGGAATTACAATGAAACGTGTTTATAAAATTACAGCTTCAGCCATCATGTGCATGTCTCTCACCATAGCAGCCTCTGCATCCCAAGCCTCCTTAATGAAATGGTCGAGGACGCGCAGGTCACAGATGGGGCGTAATGGGGAGGACAGGCCTGGACGGGTCCACTCCAGCACCATCAGCAGTAAGGCAAAGAGTCCTGGCACACATAGAACAAATGAAGGTCAGTTTAAAACTGATTTAAAAAAAGACTTTTACACTTCTACTATCTAGCAAGAGACTAGCAGCACTCAAGCCAAGACAACCAGATTCCAGAATAGTTTCTTTCCACAGCCACAGGCTATCAGATTGAACAAAAACCCACTCTCCAAACCCCCTTCCTACCAAAGTCATTGTTATACAGACACAGCAGTGACTTCAAGACAATTAAATACGATATAACAAATATAAGAGAAACAAATATTAACAATATTGTACAAAATTATTTATTATGTATAAAATGGTTCAATATAAAAGATTTAAATAATCATAAATAAAAACAATGAATTGCTTTGAATCATAATTGAACAAACATTACATTAGTTTAATTTGTAATTAAAGTTTAATTATGCTTTATGTTTAATAACACAGGGGTTGTATTGATATCAGTTTGACATTATCAAATAATTACGGGCGTATATACTCAATAAATACAATACCACTTAATACTTAAAAATACAACAGACCTGACTTTGATTTTATCTTAAAGAGATTAAAGCAAATGTGCTATTAACGCATGGTAACAAGACTTGCCACAAGGTGGAGCACTACTACGTTTAGGTAAAGAAATATATGAAGCAGAGACGTGCACAGACATTTTTAGGGGCAGGGGCTCAAGTGGAAAAAACTCATATTTATTTTAATTTTTTTTTCTAAACAAAACGTTAAATATATCAGGGGTGTGCGATATTATCAAAAATAAAATTATATTTCTTTATATCAATAAAAATACATATTTGCAGTGGCAACAAATGGTAATTCTAATATCTTCCTATTGCTTCCTAAGCCACACTAGTGTACATTTAGGCCAGATAAGTACCGCATGAATAAGTATTATTCCTACAGTTAGTCATGTGATATTCTGGCATTTATGTCTTCTTGGAAAATTTTGAATGCAGTCTTTCAGTTTTAGCTGGCTATGACACAATAGGTTTCTTATCAAAGCAGATGTACCCTCTGGATATGCTCTGATTTTGAGCACATGTTAAGAAGAACCCCAGGTTGGGTCAAAATTTAGTGTAGAACATCAAAGATCAGAATTTTCTTTAGACTTTGAGACGAGCGGATGTGATTCCTCTTTTGGCCTCAGCTTGACAAATCACTTTACTGCTGATCTTGGCAGAAAATGGCGTCTTGTTACGAAGGCAACAGAAGTTCTGTTGACACCATGACCTGTCGAAAATCCAAGAACTGTCTGAATGCTACAGAACGCACGTCCACCATGTAATCAGACCATCTCTAACAGCTTTTCCAGGAACTAGACCTATATTTTGTCTGACCAAGACTCCAGCATTTCGCAGTCACGTCATTTGATTAAGTGTGGCCTCCCTTAAACATATGAGCATACAGCTCTGTTTATTTTAGGCAACCCCCATCTCCATCTCTCATCGTGACCCAGCTACTTCAAGGTCACTTAGAGACCACCATGCATGGATGCTGTTGCCTTCCCCCATATATACATTTGTTTTTGTTACTGTTCAAAAGTTTGGGGATCAGTGAGACTTTTATGTTTTCGAAAGAAGTCTCTAATGCTCAACAACACTGCATTTATTCAAACAAAACTATAGTAAAAAAACTGCAATTTTGTGTTTATATTATTATTACAATTGAAAAGAACTGGTTTATTTTTTAAATATACTTTGATGACAAAGCTGAGTTTTCAGCAGCCATTTTTTCAGTGTCACATGATCCTTCAGAAATCAGTCTAATATGCTAATTTGGTGCATTTCTTATTATTATCATCACAGTTAAAAACAGCTGTTCTGCTTAATATTATTGTGTAGATTTTGATACATTTTCTCAGGATGTTTTGAACAAAATGCGCTCAATTTTTGTGAAACCGAAATTGTCTGGAACAATGTAAAAGTTTTTATTTGATTTTTTTTAACTAACTGACCCCCGAATTTTAGAATGGTACATTATTGTACTGGGTTATAACATATAATAAATAATATAATAGAAACATAAATAATTATAAAAAAAAGAGTGAAATATTGAATTGCAACCGCAATGAAAATATATAATTATTCACTTGCAGGATCTCAGATTCAAACAGTCAAGAAGCAGAAGGTTGATTAAGAAAATCAACCTAAAAGTCATTCAGTGAAGCATGCTAACTCTGCTCTACATACCCTTGCATACACTTGACCTTATCCCTCTGAATGAGTAAATGATAGCAACAGGAAGAGGGGAGAGACTATATCCCGTGCCTTAGTCTCCAGCAGAGGGAACAGCCAACTTCATTGAGAGTTTAATGGCTTGAAGTTAGGATCCTAGCCAATTTTAAAGGTAACAGAGAAAGTGCCAACATTAAATGCCAACAACCAGAGTCTATTTTTTGCCTTGCAAGAGAGAGCACTGTCACAGTAGCAAGTCATACCCTTGGTAAAACCAAGGACTTTGACCTAAAAATATCAATTTCAGCCTGTAAACATTGACTGCGTGAACACTGAACACATATCCACTACATCAATAAAAGAAAGATATTTCAAGTGTATTTTGGCAATAGAAATTATAGAAAGTAACACAACAAAGAAGAGCTCAATCAGGAAAATAGTAATACAATTAAACCTGATCTACAATGTTTCTCATTGCATTTGTTTTCTTACAGGTAAAATCATTGGAGAAGCCATGTGTGATCATCATCCCATGATCTGCGTTTGAGATTTTTCTGCAAAGTCATTGTCTCATTTTCAGAACAGAATTTGCTTGTCCATTGTCAACTTTTGATGATGCAGCAATTTTACACTGAGTCAGCTCTCACTGTAATGTAAAACTCATGTTTAATAAAGATGCTAGGTCATGCATGGGAAAGCCCAACACAAATAGATTGCAAGCCGAGAGCTCAAAATAATCTGCCTAACTTCCTTGGTCAATAATACCTTTAAAAAAGTGATGTGACTGATCACTATGGCAATCACAGTTTTAAATCAATTTATTATTATTATTTCTAAATGCACAATATTATAATTGCAGTGATAAACCGCCCCACTATCCCCCATGCACTTTCGCGTATAGCATGTTCACTAGTGTCAAAATAATATGATTTGTGACTGTTTGTATTTTGCCTCTCCTCTCAATATATGCAGTATAAACACAAGGGGCGGATTTAGTGAATTGGGGGCCCCTGGCAAAATATAGGAATGGGGCCCTATACATTTGCACACATTTTCCTAGATCAACCTTGAGGTTCCATTTTGTTGTTTTCAGCGTAAGCCTGTGTGCAAAGGCTGTCTAATTCTAAACTTTAAAATACATTTATTTTTAGTTGTTTTAACTACAAATTTAAATAAAACAAGAATGAAAAGGCAATTATACATTTACACACCTAAAATACATATATCAAGAGCATGCTCACAGATGAGAACAAAACAGCGTTGGATGAAGTGGATTAAAGCCTGCACGGGCCTCAAATATATAGGCCCTAGCCCGTCTTTTTTCCCCTTTTCCCAAAAAAAAGCTTATACAACTGTTTCAGCTATGCTTTCTACCGTCTCGGTCTTGAACTGGAGCGCGTCACAATGATGAACCTAAACTCAGACATGATCAAAATATATAGAAAGCTTTAAATTACTACTTTAAAACGATACATTGTCATGAATTCGTTGTATTCCCATTTGTAAAATAGCCAACAAATTAATTTTTGTAGGCTAACCCGATCTCATGAAAGTGCGTATAGCACGATTATTTCTATGCAGAAATTGACTTTGGCATGCAAAAGACTGATAAATTCATAATTAACGGCATGGGTTCAGTCGACAGAAATATGGGACACACAGGCCTATAATAACTGCTGAAATGTTTGCGGGGCAAATCTGAGGTCAGTCTGAGCGCTCATGGTACTCACAGTGCACAGCCGAACACCTGCAGGCGCCACAGACTCGGACGGTTGTCGTGGAAATAAACACCGTAACCAGCAAACGTTTGCGTGTCCGCGCTTAATGCGCATATCCTATATGAAAAGCATTTTAGGGGGCCCTTGGCTTTTGGGGGCCCAAGGCGGTCGCCTACCTTTGTTTAATGGGTAAGTCCGCCCCTGATAAACACCAAACGTTTAACGTGTTGCTTGCTATTGATTGCATTCAGTATGAATTTTACTCGACAAAACAAAAACGCAATTTTCCACTTGTGTTGCTAAATGCACGTTAAGACAGTAAGAATCAGTTTGATAAAAGCGTAAGTATCTTACCTGAACCGTGAAACATTCGCAAAACAACTTGGCATTTTTCAAACACATGATTAAAAATCGCGCAAAGACAGCTCAACCGGTGGCACAAAAGACATGGATAGCCTCGAGCACAGACGCATCCAGCCCTACGCGCTGCTTCCAAGTACTCCGTGCGACGCACAGGCGATCAAATACAATGACACCGTCCCTTCCCACGAGGCACGTACTGCGACCCGTTCGGCTTTGCGGAACCCTATTGGCAAGCTTTCTATGAATGTCAATTCCCCCTCACTCCACGAAAGCGCACCGCGACTCAGCAGAAAAGGTGGACCTCTCTCATTAATGTTCAGAAAGAGGTGGAGAATGGACTTGTCTCCCATCAGACGGCTACAAAAATGTTAAACCTCAGGCGGGATAAAAAAGAAAGAAAGACTGAGGCCGTTTAATTTACTCACTCGTTATCTGCATCTCAGAATCTAGTCCTTACAGGATCCTCTCCGTTTCGTCCATAGCTCCGTCTATTGCCCATTAATTGCAACCGAAGCCTTTTAAGGTATTGTCAGCACTCATCGGTTCCGTTATGCTTATTTATTTATTTTCAATCCATGACTTTGAAAATCAAAATCAAATATAACAGTCTCATGATGGTTATCAGATTAACTTCCTGTTTTGGAAGGGATTAGTCTTTCATTGTTACTCACATAATATCTGTTTTCTCAAAAAAAAAAAAAAAAAGTAAATAGCGCTCCAAAGAGGGTTAGCACGGCTTCCTCTCAAGGCAATTTACAATGATATTTTAGCTGCATTTTCCACCGTATAGCTACTTCCAAACAAGGGAGGTAACACAAAGAAATGAAACAATACTCATAACTATTTATCCCTGTTTGCTTGTGTTTAGGGTCTGATAAGCAGTTCTTCATATTCATTCAGCTCAGCAGACTTTTACATTTGTAAGAATTAGGTCCTGTTTTAAATATATGTGTATACAAATAGATAACAGGTTATATGCCAGTGGTAACCTATAGCACCTTGGAGATCTCAAGCCAACAAGGAGGTAAGTCAAACGAATGACTTCGGTTTTGCAACCATCCAAGATGCTCAGGGGGACTATCCTCAGAGATGTTAAAAAGGCAAGCATAAATGGGTCACTTTCAGGTAACAACAAAACATTTAGAGGTTATTTTGCAACCATAAAATTAAGTTATAGGCTAAGTTATAAATTAAAGTTAATCACAATAAGGATGTATACATCAGCCACTATTAGCAGCATATTCCAGCATCCCTTCACCACATTAACTCCACCTTTCACTGTAAAAAAAACAAATACTGGCAGCTCATTACATGGGACATCATCCATTAATTTTAAAGACATTTGCGTTAACTCTAAACCACAATGCAATGCTATGTAAAATGCAAAATACTAGTGAAACCTTTAAAAAAAAATACAGAGAAATTCCTTTGCCAATTTTAAATTTTTTTTTTTTACAGATTTTGTTTAGAGTTATTTCTTATTTATATTAATTAATTACCAGGGGAACTTAAACATCATAAACCACCGTGAAGCGCATAATCTGTTTACTTTCATTACTCTCCATGATTACATAAAAGTCCTTTAACGGCATCTTTGCTTTCATGAAGAACCTTTAACATTCATGGAACATTTCAATTCCACAAAAGGTTCTTTATAGTGGGAAACAGGCTCTTTAGATTATTAAAATGCTCTTCACACTAAGAAAAAAAAATGTTTGTTTCAGAAAAGTTTACTGAAATGATTCTTTGGGAGACCCAAAATGGTTCTTCTCTGGCATCCCTTTTTGGAACCCAGTGTGTGAACTTTAAACTGTGAACTTGTGAACTGTTCAAGTGTCAACTTTATTTGTAGATCAAATTTTGAATCTCTGGAAGTTGTTTCAGATGTTGGCTCTTACAAGTGTAATCTAAAATTAAGAATGAAAAGTATCAGTACTACTTTATATTTTCTGGTAAATGGACAAATGTGACCCTGGACCACAAAACCACAGGTTTTGCACAGGTATATTTGTAGCAATAGCCAACAATACATATGGGTCAAAATTATAAATTTTAATTTTATGCCAAAAAATCATTAGGATATTAAGTAAATATCATGTTACATGAAGATAGTTAGTAAATTTTGTACCATAAATATATCAAAACTTAATTTTTGATTAGTAACATGCATTGCTAAGAACTTAATTTGTACAACTTTTTTTTGTTTAATTTGGCGATTTTCTCAATATTTAGATTTTTTTGCACCCTCAGATTCCAGATTTTCAAATAGTTGTATTTCAGCCAAATATTGTCTGATCCTAACAAACCATACATCAATGGAAAGCTTATTTATTTAGCACTTATGTGATGTATAAATGACATGATGTATGACTGGTTTTGTGGTCCAGGATCACAAATAGCATCAGGAATATTACACTTCAAATGTGTTAAATGTAATTGGCAGAACAGTGTAATTCAGGAAGGTAAAGTGAGTCTATCCAGGAAAACAGACTGGGCCACTGAGAAGACAGAGTGTGCAGAGTTCAAAGCTACTGAATTTACCCTCAGGGATCAATAAAGTTTATCTATACATCTCTAGAGGGCATTCATAAGACAGAATCTCTATGGATTTTGTCTTAGGCACAAAGGTTACTTGTGTGGCTTTTTTCTTTCTTTTTTTTCTTTTTCTTTGTTGGTCAGAATACTTACAGCCAAAAATTACTTAGCAGAATTATATATCTGTTTCAGTAGTCTTAAATAAGTTTCCTTTTAGTGTATCAACAGAAGAGCACATTTTTTACGTGCAGCACATGTATTTCACGTGCTCTTTCAGGCAGGTCTGTTTGTTAAAGGATGACAGAATAGAGGTTGTTTGGGCAAAAGTTGTACAATGTATATGATTCCAAGTATATGTACTCATATGTACCCAACTCCTGTCAATTCTAAGGACAATCGATAAAAGTCTCTCTATTTGTTTAAATGCTTCCGCAGATATGAGAATAATTTTTTTTCTTGTTTATAAAATATAATCACCACAAACCTCTTTGCTGTTTTACTTCTAATATCTATCTGTCTATATTTGCTTCTAATATCTTTACCTGTTTGCAAGAGATATAAGACACAATCACTGTATATTATTTCATCTGTTTCAATAAACATAAGAATTCTAAGTGTTTGCGCACACACACAGCCAAGTTCTGTATCGCTTACACTCTTTGTGATAGATGTCATGCTTTGCAGCTCACAAAACTATAAAAACTGTTTGGATATCACCGTTTATTATTTCCTCTGTTTTAGTAAACATCACAATAATAAGGTGTTTGCACACACATAGACAAGTTCTGTATTGCCTACAGACACCATGTTTGTTGTCATGGCTCTAAATCTTTCTAAATCATTTGTCGCCTTGTTTGATCAAACTACTGTTTGCTCTGCCTGAGCCAAACTGAGAGCAAAGAGAGACAAGGTACGTGCTGTGGAACATGTGTAATGGCTGGGTAGGGGGACGAGGGCGGGGGTGTCTCGGCATAGTGACTCCGAGGCTTGAACCCTGTCATTGAAATTGGGATGATTAAAAAAAGTGAGGGGGGTTATGTGTGGGAGGAAGACCCAAGGACACCCTCCCCTTTTTACTAGTAAACAGACAACCAGAAGCTGGCGATGCAGAGATGAGGAGAGAGAGACAGCGAGTGAGAATAAGAGGGAGATCTGCATAGTAAATAGAGAATGACTCTCTTGATTCCTGAATGGAAAGAGAGACAGATCAGGCTCCTTGTTTGAGGTCCAGTGGTGTGCCACAAGACAGGAAACTTACATAAAAGAATAGGGGATGGGGAGGTCGGAGCCACTAAGGTGGCCAGTCAGAAGTTATTGTTTCTGAATAAGAGTCATCCTGAATGAATTATCTTGAGTTCAATGGGTAAAGCTTTCTTTTAGATTGTTTGCCCTGTTAGTGATTCTCTTTATAGTCTTTACATGGAATATACACACACACATACTGTTCAAAAGTTTTGGTCAGTAAGATTTTTTATCTTGTTACTAAATTTACAATAGTAAGATATTTTTGGGCAACAAAGCAGCATATTAAAATAATTCCTGAGGGGGTCAGGTGACACTAAAGACTGGAGTAAAATCTGCTGAAAATTCAGCTTTGCCATCCTATACATTTTAAAATATATTAAAACAGAAAACAGTTATTTTACATTTTAATCATATTTCAGTATTTTAATTTATTTTTGGTCAAATAAATGCAGTAAACAATGATAACAATACGGTTAAAACTATTATTATTCAATATTATATATTTTATATTATTCAATATTATAATATTATTAATATTAATAATGTTAATAATGTGAAATATTCTTACAATTTAAAATAACTGTTTTCTATTATAATACATTTTAAAATATTATTAATTCCTGTGATGGCAAATTAGAATTTTCAGCAGCCATTACATCTTTCAGAAATCATTCTAACATGCTAATTTTGTGCTCAAGAAACTTTTTATTTTTTAATGATTAATGTTAAAACAGCTTTTACTGCTTAATATTTTATGAACACTGTGACATACAACCATTTACTTTCACCACAGATTAGGGTAAAGAAAAGAAATTAATAGTTTTATATTTAGCAAGGATGCATTAAAATTGATGAAAAGTGTCATTTAAAAAATCACATTTAGAATTTTACATGTGATTTCTATTTCAAATAAATGCTCTTCTTTTTAACTTTCTATTCATCAAATAATCTTGTAAAAAATGTAGTACAGTTTCCTTAAAAAACTGTTTTCAACATCAATAATAATAATAATAATAATAACTGTTAATAATTAAGCACAAATAATAATTGAGCACCAAATCAACATATTAGAATGATTTGTGAAGGATCATGTGAAACTTAAATTCAGTTGGTTTTAATTTACATAGGGATGCATTACAAAGTGAAGCTCCAACTCTGTTTCAACATAAGGGTCTACAGGCCAAAAGAGGAAACCTGCAGATTATTTGGCAGTGTTCTCCCACACACAGCCTGCTGGTGGCTCTACTGTTTTAAACAACCTGACTGATTGTTTCAGGAAGAACCTTTCCTCTCGCCCTGGACCCTGCTACCCACCCCTTCATCTTCAGCTATAAATATCATACTGCTCTTTAGGAGGTGTTGGGATTTGAATAGACTGGAAAGAGCTTCATTTACTGATAAAATCTGCACTTCCCTTTGAAGGGAACTTCGAACTGCGTCCTCTAGGGGTCGCTATGGGGAACACCTCGTCGTGACCCGTGTCTGAAGC